TTAGTCTCATGAACAACATTAGCTAATTGTTATTTACTAGCTAATCTTAAATGACTGTTCAGCACAGACATGAAGCCCAAATATCATGTTTTACAGTCCTGTGGTCTCAGCCTCAGATACTTTTTAAATCACACAAAGCTCACGTAGAAACAGATGAACAAAATATATTCTCCTTCATTTCTGTCAAACAAAGCTGCATGAAACGTTTCCAGCTGTTAGTATCATGGTTGCTAGGCAACCTGGGCAGCGCGACGGAGGCTAGACCGTCCCATTTCACAAGCCTCGCACTTCCGGCGTTAGCGGTCTTTGAGTACGCGGCCCTTGACGACTGTTGAGGCTGCGTACTTTAAGGCTGCAGACCCTGAATTGGGATACAGCCAATATCTCTTGTGTTTCTTTTTGTAGTCATAAGTTTGTGAGATCAGCCACACCTGTGGCTCCTCAGCTCCTCCCCCTGCAGGGTCTGTTTACTGCAGCTCACCACTCATTCCCCTCTCCTGTGTTTGGATCTGATTTCTCCTGTGCTTTCACTCAACAGCTTGTTTTCAGTCCATTCACATGGATGCCAGCTTTCAGTCTTTCTGCAGCCTCACTCTGGTTTACCAGCAGACTCCACAGCCTTGTGCTTCATTTCTATCGACCCATCTCGATTACTGGAGTATTCTTCTAAAATCATTGCCAACCTGAGCTTGTGTTGCCTTTTTTCTATTTCTGTCCAGAAAGTTGGTTTGACCCTAACATGCTAATGCTAAAACGACTGTTTTTCTTCAACCCTGCCTTTAAGTTTTAAAGAGCATCATAAAGACTGGAGCTTGAGTCCTTGACAGCCTTTGGTCTTTAATTAGCAAATTATATACAAAGTGGATACAGATGCGTTTTCACATTTTCAACCATTACTGTACTAAGGTTTAATGTAGCAGAAATAAATCCATAAAAAAAGAAAAGGGAACAAATAGCCCTGAGTTTTGGGACACTGTGATCTGTGATGATTCACAAGATGCAGCTCATAGATTTATTCATGACTTTCTGTCCATGGGAATTCAACGCAATTTCATTTCAACTACCGTCCTCTGACAACCTAAGCATACTACCTGATTCAGCAGCTTGTAGAACCATCTTTAGCAGCAATAACTCAATCACTTTTTTTGTGTGTGACTTCATCAGTCTGTCGCATCATTGTGGACACATTTTAGCTCAATTTTCTTCACAGCATTGCTTCACTTTATTGAGGTTTGCAGGCATTCATTTATGCACAGCTCTCTGAAGGTCACAGCATTTCAATCAGTCTGGACTCTAACTGGGCCACTTGATTGTAGACTTGCTGGTGTGTTTGGCGTCCCTGTTAAGGCCAAGCTTTAGGTGTCAGACAGACAGCCTCACATGTGACTCTAGAATACTTTGGTCTACAGAGGGGTTCACGGTCAACTCCGTGACTGCAAGGTGCCCAACTGCTGTGGCTGCAAAACAAGCCCAAACCGTCACCCCTCCACCACCTGTCAGTTGGTATGAGCTGTTCGTGCTGTTATGCTTTGTTTGGTTCTCTCCAGCCGTGGTCTCTCCACTTTGGTGTCATCTGTCTAAGTCTTGTGGTTTGTTCAGATGCAACTTTGCAAACTTAAACCATGCTGGCATGTTCTTTGTAGAGACAAGGGGCTTTCTCCTGGCAGTCCGTCCAAGCTAGCCAAGCTTGTTCAGTCTTTTTCTAATTGTGTTGTCATGAACTTTAACATTTAAAATCCTAACATTTAGAGTCTGAGATGTAGCTCTTGTATTTTTTAGGGTAGCTCTGAGTGTTGCACATACAGAAACTGGGGGGAATTTGCTCCAATGTCCACTCCTAGAAAGACAGTGGCATTGTGTGTTAACACACGTATGAATGCTCCAGAGCAGCAAATCCCCAAACCTTCTGCTCACGCTTGCTGATGATGAGTTAATCAAGTGCACCTCGTAATTCCTATGGAAGCAGTAAGAGTGCACTTAATTTTTTTTACATAATAGCAGAGAGTGCAGTGAAAATGTTCTTGTTACATGACTGTACGATGCAAAGTTAGTTCTCAACTGCTCAAAAAAATGGGCTGATTTTCAAACGTCAGTGGGACACAACAGGATGGGCACCATATTCATGGGAAAGGGGCACAATGAAGAAATAAAACACTCACAGAAACCTGTCTTGTTGCAAAAATCTGTAAAATACAGCTAAATCCATTATTAATAGTTTCCAAACCCTACTAACAACTCTTCTGTGCAGCGATTTTCATTCCGCTTCTATATTTTTCCTATCGACTACTGACTGGAAAAGAAGCCCCTGCAGAGTTACTAAATATACTTGAATAAAGTTGAATAAAATAACTGTGTATTTCATTTATAACTCAATAATAGTAATAATGCAATGCTTATTCAAACACATTAGCATGCATTTCACAGACAGTCTCACCTGTCCTTGGTCCAGGAGTATCCTAGCAGCCAGTTCAGCATCCTGTTAGAAAAAGAGCGACAGTCTCATTAGCAAAATGTGCACAAAGATTTCTTTTTACATTTGGAGGTAAGTGATGTCCTGCCTGTTTGGGTACTACGGGGACAAGATTTATTTAAAAGAAAATCAAGCTAAAAACTGAGAAGGACTCATTACCCACCAGCTGAACAAATCAGAATAAATTCTCACTTTGCTTCTTAAAAAAATCTAAATTAGGACTCCTTAAATTTATCTTTTTAGTGTGTATTACTGAAAATTGAGTCCAAAGGAGTGACATCTCAGCCTGCTGTTCTTTCATTTCTTTGTTCTTTCATGTCTAGAGAGGCTTTGCTTCCTAATTGACACCCACAAAGGCAGGATGGATAGCATTACGCGGCTGATACCCCAGCAGAGAGCCCCTTCAGAGGAGCAGGTGGTTGTGACATGCCTGGCATTAAACAGAGGAAGTGCTGACAGCGGGTTTCAAACGGGTGGCTCACTTGCAGCTTTGGATCCGTTTACCCCCACTAATGAATTACTAGCATCACAAGCTCTTAGAAAATTAACAGTGTGGGAAGTTGAAGTGGAGATGGGCGTGGGCACAGATGGAAGTCATTGCTGAGGAGAAAAGAGGAAGTCCTAGAGGGTTGGTGACTGAAGAGAGGCTGCTGGCTCGATTAATTCAATTCAGTATTTATTTAGATAGCATCAAATAACAACAACAGTCAACTCAAGGCACTTTATATTGTAAGGTAAAGACCTAAAATAATAAAGAGAAAAACCCAATGATCAGGACAATCCTCTCTGTAACACTTGGTGTCGGTGGGAAGGAAAAGCTCCCTTTTAACAGGAATAAAGGTCTGGCAGAACCAGGCTCAGGGAGCGGGGTTATTATACTTTACAAAATGAAACTAAATACTAATACTAGATTTGAAAAAAACACTTTATAGTTAACTGAAATAAATGACTTGAAATAAATAAAACAAACCGAAATAACTGAACTTTGATAATAAAATAAGTCAAATAGGTAGAGGAAATGTCATTAGTTTTAGTACCTGTTAGTTTAGTAAAAACGAGAGACATGTTTATTGTGACTGGTGTCTAAAAGGATATTGTGAGTGATCTTACTTTCAAAACTGATTTTTTTTTAATCTTAAAACTAAACATTTTCATACATTTAAAACTAAACTGAAATTAGAAAATCCACTCTAGAAACTAACTGAAAGTAAACTGAATTAAAAACAAAGTTCAAATGATATAAAAATACAAATGGATTGGAAAATACGAAACTATAATAATTATATCCATCTGCTGCAACAGTTTAGGGGTGAGGGGAGGAAAACAGGACAAAGACATGATGTGGAAGAGAGCCGGAGAAAATTTTAATCTAATGATTACATGCAGAGAGGTGTATAAACACACAGAGAGTGAAGAATTGCATCATGGGAAGTCCCCAGCAGCATAAGTAAGGGAGGATTCAGGGTCACCTGATCCAGCCACAGCTATATGCTTTAGCAAAAAGGAGAGTTTTAAGCCTGATCTTAAAATTAGAAACAGTGTCTGTCTCCTGAATCTAAATTGTGATCTGGTTCCACAGAAGAGAGACCTGAGATCTGAAGGCTCTGCCTCCCATTCTCCTTTTAAATTCTCTAGGAACAACAAGTAGGCCTGCAGTCTGAGAGCAAAGTGCTCTAATAGGGTGATACGGTACTATGAGGTCGTTAGGATGAGATGGGGCCTGATTATTGAAAACCTTGACTGTCGATCAATTACTGTGGAGGTTGTGATCTGGGTGGAGTAGATACCAGTGAGTGATACATAATGGTCAACAAATTGAACCATTATGTGACCTTTTCCACAAAAAAGTTGATCCACATCTCACACCCTTACTCTGTAGGGTGAAAAACACATTATTACAGGCTGTTACAGGTTGCTGCTTTTTATTTCCAGTTTAGTTTATATGTTCCATATCTTTAGAGCTTCTGTCTGCATCACCCCTCTTTATTCTGTCATTTTTGCTCAGAGGTCTCTGAGTTACATGGACAATACATTTTTTTGCTGCTGAAATCCAAAAAGGAAAGAGGAAACTCAAAGGGACGCACCATTAGACCGATCACAAGCACAAATGAACACCATGATGCAGATCATCAAGCTGAGAAGCACTCCAGTTCTCATATGTCATATATTTAGAGTTATAAAGAATAAGCAATAAGCCCACAGGCAGACTACGGCAGTAAAAGCTACTTGTTATCAAGATGTTTTGAAGTTGTTGCCCTGTGAAAGTCAAATACTCTATGCACAAACAGACTGCTATATTAAAATGATCAAAGTCATGATGGTGTAGTTCTCTTTGCATTGGTTAAAGACCCATTTCGTCTGTCTGGCAGCCCAGCTTTAGTAAGTATGAAGGCTGTACTGCCAGACTTTATGATTATCATTAATTAATCTGGCTTCAGTCGCGGATGCTGTGGGTCTTGCCTAAGAGTTAAATCATCTCAGCGGGAAGAGAAAACATAAGTTGAGGGCGAGCACTTCATTTAACTTTGTGACTGGTAGGATGCTGTGGGTGCATGAAGAACCGACAGGGCCAAGTGTGTCCGGTAGTCCACAGCAGAACCACGTCAACAACAGCTACTGTTTCATAAGTGCGGTCACACTCTCTGGGCTGATTTTGTCCTCTTTTACAAATTTTGATTTAATTCTTTGACCTCATTTATTTTCCCACTGAGGTCAAAGACTTGTATGTAGAAGACACAGGAGCTTTTTGTACTATCCTCCTGTAAACCCTGACTTCTTGATTGTTTCTAACTGTTCCCCACGAGCTCCTTGTGTGTATATAAAGAGTTTAGTACTGTTGCCTCACAGCAGGAAGGTCCTGGGTCTGAATACTGTGTGAAGTCATGTCCTCTTTGTGCTTGCCTGGGTTCTCTCCCGGGTTAATCCAGCTTCCTTCCACACTCCCACGATTAATCGGTGAGACTGATTTGTCATCTTTTAGCCCTGTGACAGCCTGGCAACCTCTCCAGGGTATGCCCCGCCTCTCGCCCTATGACGGCTGGTCATAGGTCACCATGTGTGGTGTATATAAAGTCCCGGATCTTGCTTGTCCATTACTGGTTTGTCTGTTCACTTCTAATTCTCTGTGAATTTCTTGTGTTTTTGGTCATGTTCTGATAAAACTGCTGTTTACCATTTTACCTGAAGCATATATCAAGATGGAAGAAGTATTGATTAATTATTAAAAACAATTAAAAATCAGGAAATTAGTTACTAAAAGAGATCAATGCTAGTCACAGCTTGGAAAATAGATTTAAAAAATCACTGGATCGAGTTAGAAGCTGCAGAGTCCCTCACATTAATGGCTAGTTTAGAGTTAATTACCAGTTATCTTAACATGCACGTCTTTGGACCATGTGAGGAAGCCACACTGTGGAGTGCCCACATTGTCAACTAGAGAACGTGTAAACTCGACTGAGAAAGGCCAAAGCTGGGGTTCACACCAGGAGAACCACTGCAGAAAAATCTCTGTTGTTTTTGTTTCACTACTGTGTTTTGCTCTTTGTCCACAAGGGGGCTCTGCTCTGCAGCGCTGCATCTGCACGGCAACATCAGCCCAGCAGAGCAGAGGATCTGCTCCCGATCCTTCGGGGCTTTGACGTCAACCTGGCAGATATGAGCCAGCGCTGCAGCTGTGCGCGCACACACACACACACACATCTATATAAGTACACACTGACGCACAAAGTCATGCACAAATGTGCTTGGAACACATGTTGTCACATGTAGGCTTTGTTCAGACTCAAAAACACTTTCATTCATGCACACATGCACAGCAAGGACACATAGTGACACACTTGCACATACACCAGCCCTCTTTTTCTTTCTCTTGGTTTGCTTGTGCTTTCATGTCATGCTCACTGTGTGTGTGTGTGTGTGTGTGTGTGTGTGTGTGTGTGTGTGTGTGTGTGTGTGTGTGTGTGTGTGTGTG